CTAATAGCTCTCCATTTCAAATGGTGAGTGTCACTTGATAAAGTGGAAGAGCTAACATCAGCATGTAAGAACTCGTCCGACCACGCCCTTTCTTTTCCTTATGCACGAGCAAGCCCGGTTCGGCATAGGCATCTATGTGAGACATTTCCTGTTGGTGTTGTCTGCTCTTTTCTTCACTTTCATGTCAATCGTCGTCTTTTTATTAGTATTGGAACCGCGCAACTGACCATTTTTGAACGCGGAGCGTGCCTTTAAGTCTAGAGGGCGTATTTGTTCTGCAACGAGACCTCCCATTCTCGAGTTTCACATTTTACCAGCTGCACGACGGGCAAGTGGGTAGACTCCCACCGAATCCTTCGAATTTCCAGTAATATTTCTCGCTGGTTTACACGAGCGAGAGAGGAGGCGGTGTAGTTGTCTGATCAAAGGAGGGGATGATTATGGTTTTTCAAATTTTCTTGTGATGGGATGCTAGAAGAGATGATAACAGTAAAGAATTGGGAAAATAGAAATCCTGAAATCTTTTTCCATTTGTTGCTCGGGAGCAGAGTGGATAGCACTACTACATTGAGCTCTCTGCCTTCCCCACAGGCGTTGTGTGGCGTTGGTATTGTGCGGATTTGAAGAATCCGCTATTCCGACAAGAGATTAGGTGGGACTCCGCCCACTAGCGAATTGCGCTCTCTCCCAAAATGGCCTGCTCTGCTGAATCGCGCATTTTCCTTACTCGCCGCTATGTTTCACCTTGTTCCTGACGTCATTGTCGTCAGAGTATTTCCAGCTGATTTTAGGATGTCCGTTTACTTTTCACATTCCGATATTCAAACGTTGGCAACGAAATTGTTCGTTACCAAAAAACCTCTGAATTGGTGGTGGCAATGAAATTTCCAGCGGTTAATTGGAGATGGCTCATTGAAAATGAGCCTCAATTATGACTATTCCCGCAGGTTTTCATCATGATGCAGTAGAACTATCAGGGAAAATTGACATCTAGTGCAGTTGCACTTTTGCTGATTGCCTGCGCTAAATTGCCCTTTTCGAGATGTAATTACTGAAAAGCATTGTAAGCGTGTGAGCGGGGCTTGATTGAATAATTAAGGGGAAGGGACTTCTTCCTGGAACTGATAAAATGCCATCCCAGCTGGAACGCGTCTTATCCTTGGTCGTTGGTGTTTTCATTAGGTATGT